GAACTGTGGTCGTGGGACCCGAACTGTGGTCGTAGGACCCGAACTGTGGTCGTGGGACCCCGAACTGTGGTCGTGGGACCCCGAACTGTGGTCGTGGGACCCGAACTGTGGTCGTGGGACCCGAACTGTGGTCGTGGGACCCGAACTGTGGTCGTGGGACCCGAACTGTGGTCGTGGGCCCCGACCTGTGGTCGTGGGACCCCGAACTGTGGTCGTGGGACCCCGAACTGTGGTCGTGGGACCCGAACTGTGGTCGTGGGACCCCGAACTGTGGTCGTGGGACCCGAACTGTGGTCGTGGGACCCGAACTGTGGTCGTGGGACCCGAACTGTGGTTGTGGGACCCGAACTGCACGATGCCTCCAGCCAGGCACCGGATACGGCTCTTTAGCGGTACAGGAACCCAGGTGGCGCCACCTGGGATGTCCCCCACCACCCAGGTGGCGCTACCTGGTAGCACCCCCCCCCCCTGGGTGGTGGTGCAACCCATGTAGCATCCCCTGGGCGGTGGTGCAACCCAAGTTGCGCCACCTGGGTGGTGGGGGACACAACCCAGGTAGCGCCACCTGGGTTGTGTCCCCCACCACCCAGGTGGTGCTACATAGGTTGCACCACCGCCCAGGGGATGTTACATGGGTTGCACCACCACCCAGGGTGGGGGGTGCTACATGCGTTGCACCAGCACCCAGGGGGTGCTACATGCGTTGCACCACCACCCAGGGGGTGCTACATGCGTTGCACCACCACCCAGGGGGTGCTACATGGGTTGCACCACCACCACCCAGGGGATGTTACATGGGTTACACCACCACCACCCAGGGGATGCTACATGGGTTGCACAACCCCACCCAGGCGAGGTTATCTTGAGATGATTTCGGGGCTTTAGTGTCCCCGCGGCCCGGTCCTCGACCAGGCCTCCACCCCCAGAAAGCAGCCCGTGACAGCTGACTAACTCCTAGGTACCTATTTACTGCTAGGTAACAGGGGCATAGGGTGAAAGAAACTCTGCCCAATGTTTCTCGCCGGCGCCTGGGATCGAACCCAGGACCGCAGGATCACAAGTCCAGCGTGCTGTCCGCTCGGCCGACCGGCTCGGCATCCCAACCCCGGGATGCTACGTGGGTTGCACCACCACCACCCAGGGGGTGGTACATGGGTTGCACCACCACCCAGGGGATGCTACATGGGTTGCACCACCACCACCACCCAGGGGATGCTACATGGGTTGCACCACCACCACCCAGGGGATGCTACATATGGGTTGCACCACCACCCAGGGGATGCTACATATGGGTTGCACCACCACCACCCCGGGGGTGCTACATATGGGTTGCACCACCACCACCCAGGGGATGCTACATATGGGTTGCACCACCACCACCACCCAGAGGATGCTACATGGGTTGCACCACCACCACCACCCAGAGGATGCTACATGGGTTGCACCACCACCACCCAGGGGATGCTACATATGGGTTGCACCACCACCACCCAGGGGATGCTACATGGGTTGCACCACCACCACCCAGGGGATGCTACATACGGGTTGCACCACCACCACCCAGGGGGTGCTACATATGGGTTGCACCTCCACCACCACCCAGAGGATGCTACATATGGGTTGCACCACATCCACCCAGGGGATGCTACATGGGTTGCACCACCACCACCCAGGGGATGCTACATACGGGTTGCACCACCACCACCCAGGGGGTGCTACATATGGGTTGCACCTCCACCACCACCCAGAGGATGCTACATATGGGTTGCACCACATCCACCACCCAGGGGATGCTACATGGGTTGCACCACCACCACCCAGGGGATGCTACATATGGGTTGCACCACCACCACCACCCAGGGGATGCTACATGGGTTGCACCACCACCACCCAGGGGGTGCTACATATGGGTTGCACCACCACCACCCAGGGGATGCTACATATGGGTTGCACCACCACCACCCAGGGGATGCTACATATGGGTTGCACCACCACCACCCAGGGATGCTACATATGGGTTGCACCACCACCACCCAGGGGGTGCTACGTATGGGTTGCACCACCACCACCCAGGGGATGCTACATATGGGTTGCACCACCACCACCCAGGGGATGCTACATATGGGTTGCACCACCACCACCCAGGGGATGCTACATGGGTTGCACCACCACCACCCAGGGGATGCTACATACGGGTTGCACCACCACCACCCAGGGGGTGCTACATATGGGTTGCACCTCCACCACCACCCAGAGGATGCTACATATGGGTTGCACCACATCCACCACCCAGGGGATGCTACATGGGTTGCACCACCACCACCCAGGGGATGCTACATATGGGTTGCACCACCACCACCACCCAGGGGATGCTACATGGGTTGCACCACCACCACCCAGGGGGTGCTACATATGGGTTGCACCACCACCACCCAGGGGATGCTACATATGGGTTGCACCACCACCACCCAGGGGATGCTACATATGGGTTGCACCACCACCACCCAGGGGATGCTACATATGGGTTGCACCACCACCACCCAGGGGGTGCTACGTATGGGTTGCACCACCACCACCCAGGGGATGCTACATATGGGTTGCACCACCACCACCACCCAGAGGATGCTACATGGGTTGCACCACCACCACCCAGGGGGTGCTACATATGGGTTGCACCACCACCACCCAGGGGATGCTACATGGGTTGCACCACCACCACCACCCAGAGGATGCTACATGGGTTGCACCACCACCACCACCCAGGGGTGCTACATGGGTTGCACCACCACCACCCAGGGGGTGCTACATATGGGTTGCACCTCCACCACCACCCAGAGGATGCTACATATGGGTTGCACCACCACCACCACCCAGGGGATGCTACATGGGTTGCACCACCACCACCCAGGGGATGCTACATATGGGTTGCACCACCACCACCCTGGGGATGCTACATATGGGTTGCACCACCACCCAGGGGGTGCTTCACATGGGTTGCACCACCACCACCCAGGGGATGCTACATATGGGTTGCACCACCACCACCCAGGGGATGTTACATATGGGTTGCACCACCACCACCCAGGGGATGCTACATATGGGTTGCACCACCACCACCCAGGGGGTGCTACATATGGGTTGCACCACCACCACCACCCAGGGGATGCTACATGGGTTGCACCACCACCACCCAGGGGGAGCTACATATGGGTTGCACCACCACCACCCCCCAGGGGATGCTACATGGGTTGCACCACCACCACCCAGGGGGTGCTACATATGGGTTGCACCACCACCACCACCCAGGGGATGCTACATGGGTTGCACCACCACCACCCAGGGGATGCTACATATGGGTTGCACCACCACCACCCAGGGGGTGCTACATATGGGTTGCACCACCACCACCCAGGGGATGCTACATATGGGTTGCACCACCACCACCTAGGGGATGCTACATATGGGTTGCTCCACCACCACCCAGGGGATGCTACATATGGGTTGCACCACCACCACCCAGGGGGTGCTACATATAGGTTGCACCACCACCACCCAGGGGATGCTACATATGGGTTGCACCACCACCACCACCCAGAGGATGCTACATGGGTTGCACCACCACCACCCAGGGGTGCTACATATGGGTTGCACCACCACCACCCAGGGGATGCTACATGGGTTGCACCACCACCACCACCCAGAGGATGCTACATGGGTTGCACCACCACCACCACCCAGGGGATGCTACATGGGTTGCACCACCACCACCCAGGGGGTGCTACATATGGGTTGCACCTCCACCACCACCCAGAGGATGCTACATATGGGTTGCACCACCACCACCACCCAGGGGATGCTACATGGGTTGCACCACCACCACCCAGGGGATGCTACATATGGGTTGCACCACCACCACCCAGGGGATGCTACATATGGGTTGCACCACCACCACCCAGGGGATGTTACATATGGGTTGCACCACCACCACCCAGGGGATGCTACATATGGGTTGCACCACCACCACCCAGGGGGTGCTACATATGGGTTGCACCACCACCACCCAGGGGATGCTACATATGGGTTGCACCACCACCACCCAGGGGGTGCTACATATGGGTTGCACCACCACCACCACCCAGGGGATGCTACATGGGTTGCACCACCACCAACCAGGGGGTGCTACATATGGGTTGCACCACCACCACCACCCAGGGGATGCTACATGGGTTGCACCACCACCACCCAGGGGGTGCTACATATGGGTTGCACCACCACCACCACCCAGGGGATGCTACATGGGTTGCACCACCACCACCCAGGGGATGCTACATATGGGTTGCACCACCACCACCCAGGGGGTGCTACATATGGGTTGCACCACCACCACCCAGGGGATGCTACATATGGGTTGCACCACCACCACCTAGGGGATGCTACATATGGGTTGCACCACCACCACCCAGGGGATGCTACATATGGGTTGCACCACCACCACCCAGGGGGTGCTACATATAGGTTGCACCACCACCACCCAGGGGATGCTACATATGGGTTGCACCACCACCACCACCCAGAGGATGCAACATGGGTTGCACCACCACCACCCAGGGGGTGCTACATAGGGGTTGCACCACCACCACCCAGGGGATGCTACATGGGTTGCACCACCACCACCACCCAGAGGATGCTACATGGGTTGCACCACCACCACCACCCAGGGGATGCTACATGGGTTGCACCACCACCACCCAGGGGTGCTACATATGGGTTGCACCTCCACCACCACCCAGAGGATGCTACATATGGGTTGCACCACCACCACCACCCAGGGGATGCTACATGGGTTGCACCACCACCACCCAGGGGATGCTACATATGGGTTGCACCACCACCACCCAGGGGATGCTACATATGGGTTGCACCACCACCACCCAGGGGATGTTACATATGGGTTGCACCACCACCACCCAGGGGATGCTACATATGGGTTGCACCACCACCACCCAGGGGGTGCTACATATGGGTTGCACCACCACCACCACCCAGGGGATGCTACATGGGTTGCACCACCACCAACCAGGGGGTGCTACATATGGGTTGCACCACCACCACCACCCAGGGGATGCTACATGGGTTGCACCACCACCACCCAGGGGGTGCTACATATGGGTTGCACCACCACCACCACCCAGGGGATGCTACATGGGTTCCACCACCACCACCCAGGGGATGCTACATATGGGTTGCACCACCACCACCCAGGGGGTGCTACATATGGGTTGCACCACCACCACCCAGGGGATGCTACATATGGGTTGCACCACCACCACCCAGGGGATGCTACATAT